ACCGCCCCTCTCCAAGCCAAGCAGATCCACGCCCACCTCCTCCTCCTCTCCTCCCCTCCCTCGCCCTTCCTCCTCTCTCTCCTCATCTCTCTCTACTCCAACCTCAACCTCCTCTCCCACGCCCAATCCCTCTTCAACTCCACTCCCACCTCGGCCCGATCATCTCTCTTATACAACTCCATCCTCCGTGCAAACCTCGCACACTGCCGACATTCGAGAGTCATCTCCCTCTATCTCTCAATGTCCTCGAGCCTTCCCGATAGCTTCACATTCCCTCTCGTAATCAAGGCTTGTTCTCAAATTAACGACCCCAAACTCTTCAGATTGATTCACACCCACGTTTTAGTCATGGGTTTTGGAGCTCATCTCCACGTTGCTAACGAATTGGTGGCAATGTACTCTAACTTGGGCCTCATGGAGATTGCACGCAAGGTGTTTGATGGAATGCCTGATAGAAATGTGGTTTCTTGGAATTTGTTGGTTTCTGGGTTTTCGTCGAGTTTTGATCCGGAGTCGGCAATGAGGGTGTTCCGGCTGATGCAGGTGGTGGGCCCAGCTCCGAATTTGGTGACGTGGACGTCACTGATGTCAGCGCATGCTCGATGTAAATTGCACGGGGAAGTGGTGGAGATTTTTGACGAGATGAGGTGTAGCGGAGTTAGAGGCTCTGCGGAGGCTGTGGCTGTTGTTCTATCTATATGCGCATATTTAGAGCGCGATGCATTAAAAATTGGAAAGAAGATGCATAGTTATGTACAAAGAATCGGTTTTGAGAATTACCCATTTGTTCGAAATTCGCTTGTTTGCATGTACGGCAAGCTTGGATTTCACGAAGAGGCCGAGATCGTATTCTCGGAGACCGAAGAGAAGAGTTTAGTTAGCTGGAATGCTCTGATTTCGAGCTATGCGGCTTCTGGTCTCTGTAACAAGGCCTGCGAGGTCTTTTACCGTCTTAGTGAATCCAATACAGCCGCCCCCAATGTCGTGAGCTGGAGTGCAGTAATAAAAGGGTTTGCATCTGCTGGAATGGCGGAATCCTCGCTCAGCATGTTCCAGCAAATGCAGCAGGCTGGCATCAGACCTAATCCAGTCACGATCGCCACCATTCTGTCATCGTGTGCCGAGATATCGGCGCTGGACTTGGGTAAAGAGATCCATTGTCACATGATAAGAATCAGTATGAACAAAAACATTCTGGTCGACAATGCACTACTCAATATGTACACTAAGAGCGGGAACCTGAGAAATGGCATGTTGATCTTAGAGAGAATAAAGGAGAAAGATCTGATCTCATGGAACACGATGATCACCGGCTTTGGCATGCACGGATTCTGTGACGAAGCCCTCGCAACCTTCGAGGACATGATAAAAAACAATGTAAACCCTGACGGGATCACATTTATCTCTCTTTTGTCTGGGTGTAGCCACGCTGGTAACGTCGCAGAGGGCCGTCGGTTACTCCATCGAATGATCCACGAGTTCAATATCCCACCGGCAATGGAGCATTACTCGTGCCTCGTGGACCTCCTCGGCCGAGCAGGGCTCCTCATCGATGCGTACGAGCTCGTTCAAGAAATGCCTTTTCCGCCCAATGCCAGCGTTATCGGTGCGTTGTTGAACTCTTGTAGGATACATGGTAAAATTATGAATGTTGAGGATTGTGCCACGAGGATTTTGGAGATTGACGGCGAGGGTAGCGGGAACTATATGTTGTTGTCGAATATTTATGCTGCGAGTGGGAGATGGGGGGAGTCGGCGAGGGTGAGGGCGATGACGAAGGAGAGAGGGGTGAAGAAGAAGGCCGGGGAGAGCTGGGTCAAGGTGGGGAAGAAGGCGGTGGTTTTCTCGTCGGATAGCTCACCGTCGGTTGAGGCGGAGGTTGTTTATGGGGTGGTTGAGGTGTTGTGTCAACATATGGAGAGTCAGAATGTTGTGAGCGGAGATTGGATTGTGTTAATGTGAAAAAGATAAAAGAGTATTTATTTTGTCATGACACATAGCTGAAATAGTCAAGAAACTTATTTTCTCAGGGAAACCTGAAAATTTTTCAAAGCAACACTAATTTTAGTTTGCTATTGTCTACATTAAATTTTAGGAGGAATCATGCATAAGAGTGCTTCTTACGATGTGCTACAAGTGTATAAACCATCACAAAAATCCAGTAACTATTGGTTACGGAACCCAAATCTATCTATGACTCGAGCTAATGGTGGAAATTTCATGGCCAAGTATAGTCCCACTTTTTTTAAAGCTAGTATGGTTGTACTTACTTTGCTTGCACGTGTGCTACAACTCCAAGAGGCTGTTTGGCTGGGGCTGTTATCACTAGGTTGTTACTGTAATAACTTTTATGCTTTTATCCTGTTTGGTTGTGCAAAGGGAAGACTGATGTGGCCTAAATAAAACCTGGCTAGCAGCATATATACAACCCCCTCCATCTGTTGTGCGCGGCGGCCAAACCGATGGGATGCCGGAACAAATACTAATGTCGAGAGAGAAAGAAAAAACAATTTAAAATAACGACACAAATACAAACAAACGAATTTTACGTGGTTCGGCAAGTTGCCTACGTCCACGGGGCAAGAATGGGATGAGTTTTCACTAATAGAGAAGAATAATACAAATAGAGATTACAAATCCACAAACTAATCTCTCACACAAAGCTCTCAATCTCTCAAACAAAACCCTAACCAATAGCTCAGGAAAAAAACTCTCTTTTTTGTGCTCAAAACAAACCCTTTTTACACTCCCCAAGAAACCCTTAAACGTGTTTCAATATTTATATCAAAGCACAAACCAAATCAAAACAAGAAACTAAAATTTAGGCCTGACCGGACTGGCGGTCGACCGCCCAAAGCTCGCGGTCGACTGCGACTAACGACAGAACCGAGAAAACAATTATAAGGTTTGGCAGTCGACCGTGGCGGGCGACCGCCTCTAGATTCTCAGAATCGATTACAGATTTTGGCGGTCGACTGCACCAAGTTCAGAATCAATCCCTGAGCTGTGCACGTTTCTGGTCGACCGACCTAGCCTCGCGGTCAACCGGGACGGTCGACCGAACGTCACCAAAATAGTTCCATGCTTCCAAAATTCCTGTTCTTCTCCAATTTCTTCGCCAATTTTATAATTCTCCACCTCGACGAAGTTTTTTCAAAACTGAGCCAACACCAACCTAACCAAATGTCCCACTTGTTACGTCCAGTACGAAGTGAAACAAATTCACGATAACGAACTCAATCCACAACAAGTCAAGACCCAAACGAGAATGCGAATAAACTCCAAATATCGGTATCAACTCACCAAACTGGCTGCATCATAAAATGATTGCCTACGTATTTTCTTACCCAAGGAATCAAGCCTCACGTAGTTCACCAAATAGCCTCCAAAGGCCCTCAATCAACAAGAAGAGTTTTCAACTCTTCTCTAACATCACCAACAAATCTGCAACTGATAACTCTCCCAATGTCCCCAAAATGTAACGAACCAAACATCTCCACGAACCAAACACGTCCACTTGAGATGAACCAACGGCTACAGCCAAATATGAACTGTGTCCATCAGCTGCACTCGAATCAACTAACTCATCATCTGTATCCAAATCAACATGATCCCCAATCTGTGTCACCTCAGCTGAAATCGCAAACGATATAGAATGATCTGGAGAACATGGAGTAATCTCCACCCAATGTGGATTATCATCACTCTCCACCCGCTATGATATCCCAATGATCTGATCAATACTCTCCACCTGCCGAGAATCAAATGTGACATACCTGCTCAGAACAATATCAGAGTCTAATACCTGATAACCAAACATGACTCTGAGTCCTAAATGTGCACTCGGATTAAATCTCACATCTTGGATGTGATAATATGTTAGGCGACCAAATATCCGAAGTAATCCAAAATCTAAAGCGGCTCAACTAGATCCAAAAACTCCAAACGCAGCAGTCAGCAACCTATGAATAAGATGGCTCCAATATGTCGAAGCTTCAACACCAAAACTCCTCTATAAACCAATGCTCGATATCAAACATCGATTCTCCTCCAGCAAGGAACAACTCATCAAATCTGCCACCTCATCTTGTCGCCCCAATGTTTCCTCTCTAATGAAGTGTCTCAAACTGCTGAGCTCAGCACAAATGCAGAAAAGAACCCCTACCAAAATCAGAACGACGCATTACCTTTTTGCTAATACACTTCTTCCACCAATTGTTGACTACTAGGACTTCACACCAACGGGACTTAGTTACAACCCACACATATCTAAAACAATCACCAACACAGGAAACCAAATACCTATTACCTCCCAATGATGCCTCCTTGGAAGGCTCCCAAATGCCTGAATGAACACCACCTAGAAGACACTTCGCTCAGTGAATAAAAGTGCCAAATTCCACCTCGGTCTTCTTGCTCATACCAATATGCTCATAGGACTTCAATCTGCAGGTCAAAGCACTCCTCAACAATCCATGCACGACATCAACAATCAAATATCCCAGCATCAATAAACGCCACAGTCTAGCCAAATCCAAAGAAGTCGTCAGCTCTCCACCAATCACCGTGCTCCTAATCAAATAGTACAAATTCTTCTTTTTGACGTCCTTCATCACAATCATGGACCCAAATATGACCTTCAAAGATGCATCCTCTAAGGTCACCCGATAACATGCTACCTCAAAAACTCTAAGTAAAATGATATTCTTCTTCAACTACGGAACGAACCTCACTTCATCCAACTCCCGAATCATCCCGTCACACATCCTAATACGAACGGTACCGATACCACCAGTAGGACATTCATGATCATTACCCATGAGCACGACATCCCCTCTTTCCAACTCCTCAAAGCTGGAGAACCAATCCCTCCTAGGGCAAATGTGGTAAGAAGCACCCGAATCCAACATCCACTCTGTAGAGTCGGTAACACAAACTGACGGTAGTGCATTGCACGAATAACCTGAAGAATATGAATCTGAATTGTCTCCACTAGCCTTGGTAACATTCACCTCTGAAACTTGAATAGCTTTTTCCTTTTTCTTTCTGGCTCGATCTGTCAACTTTGGGCATTTGGCTTTCCAATGTCCATCTTTTTTACAAAAGGCACACCGATTCTTACCAACTGCAGGGTGTGCTCCTCTAGACTATGATCTCCTACTATGGTTTGGACTCTTCTCTCTTGTGACTAATGTCCCCGCTACTGTATCAATTGAAGTCTCTTTATCCTTCTTTCGAAGCTGATAATTCACAAGTGCAGCGATGACCTCACTATACGAAAGAGATGTCTTGTCATTAATAAGAGTAAGAACGAATGTCTCATATTCCTCGTTGGGTAAGGAACTCAATAATAATAACGTCTTATCCTCATCTTCAATCATAACATCTACATTCGCCAAATTCGCAAGAAGCTTTGTGTAGTTATTCATGTGATCACCAATGGAGGTTCTCTTCTTCAATTGGAAGCGATAAAGTCTCCTCTTCAAATGCAAGCAGTTTTTCACACTCTTTGTCAAATACTTACCCTCTAGGATCTCCTAAATCTTTATTAGCCTAAGTCTCATTGATCACATCATATTTCAAATCTTGTGTTAAACAAGATCTAATCACACCACACGCCGTTTGATTCATCTTCTTCCAAACCTTCTCCTCAATGTCGCTCGGTTTCCCGTCCAACTCCAAAGTGTCTTCTAAATCTTACGCATTGAGCGCATCCAAGACATCACATCTCCAAAGACCAAAATTGTTAGTGCCATTAAACTTCTCCACGTCTATCTTCATAGATTGAATATTTAAACTTTGAATGATCTTCATATCAGAAGTACCCTCCACAACTCCTCCTTTCTCGGCCATCTTCCTCAAAGCACCACCAAACCAATGCGGAACAAACGAATAATAGATCCAAACTAAAAAAGAGAGATTTTTATACCTCCAAGTGAAATCCTAATAATAGCCTCCGAAAGATCTCACCTCCACACGACGGAAGACAAGATCCATAATAGTAAAAATCCCACCTTTATCATCAACTGAAGTCATAGATGTGCTTCCAAAGCGATCTACTCCTCCACCTAGCTCAAGCATAACCAAAACTCTGATACCAATTGTTGTGCGTGGCAGCCAAACCGATGGGGTGCCGAGAACAAATACCAATACCGAGAAAGAAAGAAAAAACAATCCAAAATAACAGCAAAAACACAAACAAACGAATTTTACGTGGTTCGGCAAGTTGCCTATGTCCATGGGGTAAGAAGGGGATGAGTTTTTACTAATAGAGAAGAAGAGTACAAATAGAGATTACAAATCCACAAACTAATCTCTCACACAAAGCTCTCAATCTCTCAAACAAAACCCTAACCAATAGCTAAAAAATTTCTCTTTTCTGTGCTCAAAACAAACACTTTCCACTGCCCAAGGAACCCTAAAACGTGTTTTAATATTTATATCAAAACACAAACTAAATCAGAACAGGAAACAAAATTTTGGGTCTGACCTGACTGGTGGTCGACCGCCCAAAGCTCGCGGTCGACCACGACTAACGACTGAACCCAGAAAACAATTATAATATTTGGTGGTCGACCGTGACGGTCGACCGCTATCAACTCCAGAGCCTCAGAATCGATTACAGGTTTTGGCGATCGACCGCGGTGGTCGACCGCACCAAGTCCAGAATCAATCCCAGAGCTGTGCACGTTTTTGGTCGACCGACCTTGCCTCGCGGTCGACCGAACGTCACCAAAACAGTTCCATGCTTCCAAAATTCCTGTTCTTTTATAATTTCTTCGCCAATTCTACATCATCTGCTTCTGCTTTGGCTTGATGTATGTTTGTTGTTAGGTCCAGCTAGACGATACCACCATATGTTTTACCGAAAAAAAGATCCAAATAGCCCCCAAGGAAAATATTGTTAGGATATTTTCTTATGTGAGATGGGCCAGCACAGGTAGGTCTGTCCATCCGGCTCGGCTCGGGCCAGGCAAAACCGGAGCCTGG